CTCTCCCTCTCTCCTTCCCTTCCCCTCTAAAGATAAATAAGTAAAAATCTTAAAAAAAAACAAAACAAAAACAAAACAAAGCAAAACATGTAACTTGGTTTCCCTCAATGACTCTTACAGTTTTATTTTTTTATAATTTTAAAAATGTTTATTGATTTGAGAGAGAGAAGCATTGCTGTGAGAGAAAATCATCAATTGGTTGCCTCCCATACGTACCCTGACCAGGGATCAAACCCCCAACCTTTTGGTGTACAGGATGACACTCCAACCAACTGAGCCACACTGGTTAGGGCACAGTTTAATTTTTTTATATTTAAACCTTAAGAAGTTAGAAATTGGTAAAGGTCCTTTGTTAATGTTTTTTTAAATGTTTCTTAATAATCTCTTTTTTAAAAAAAAATTATTCATTTACCTTTAGAGGGGGAGGGAAAGAGACAGGGAGAGAAATATCAATGTATGGTTGCCTCTCATGCATCCCCTGCTGGGAACTGGCCTGCAACACAGGTATGTGCCCTGACTGGGAATTGAACCTCAGTTGTGTGGTTCGCAGGCCCGCCACTGAGCTACACCAGCCAGGCGGTCCTTTGTTAATGTTATATTTATGGAGTACTTATTGTACTGTGGGAAGATACAGTGAGTGGCTATGTTCACTTTTAAGTCACATGTAGCTATCCAGCCATAAAAATGGTGATTGTGGTTGTTCTAACATGACTCCTAAACATAAACCAACGACTTCATTTGGGGGTTCCAGTCATAGAAAGCAGTCTTTTTCAACTCAGAAAGAAAGAAAAAAAACTGCAGCATTATGATCTTAAGAAAGTATATAAGGGAGGACCCCAAACAACCGGAATTTATTTATAAAATATTGTGTATTTAGTCTTATTTGTTTAAACTTTGGTCACCTTCAGAATACTCTTCATTGCATGCAATACACCTATCGACGTTTTTTTCCCCGTGCTGAAAACAGTTTTTGAACTCCTTGATTTTGAAGCCTTTCAGTGCTTCTGCTGTCCCTGCCCCCACCTCTTCCACATTGGCAAAACATTTTCCTTTGAGGACTTTTTTCATCTGAGGAAACAAAGTTGCTGGGACAAGATTGGGTGCATATTGAAGGTAGGGTATGGGGGTCACGCTGGTTTTTTGTTCAAAAACTGCTGAACACTCAGTGTGGTGTGGACAGGTGCGCTTTTAAATCTCCCATTATGGAATGGCCAAATGCATTGAAAGAGTCTGCAAAAAATTCACTGAAACCAAATGCAGCCTCTCAAAAATGCCAGCTGGTCCACTGATAAAGATGGGTTCCTAGAACACTCACCTAGTGGGGGAAACTTGTATTATAAAACTCCCGCCTGCCAGAAGATAATTCTGGGCTTTTTTTTTGGGGGGGGGTCTCTCTCTCTATACAAAACCACATATGCTCTACTTTATGGGTGATTTAAGGAACCAAAGATTAATTTGGCAGTATTTGGTTTTAGTACATTCTATCTGAAAAAGATGAGATTCTACTATGTATGATTATAGAAACATTTATTATCTCGTGATATTTGCTAAAATGTTTTCCATGTTATTTATTCCTTACAGCCATCCCGTGAAGTAGATTTTTTTATACTAATTTTGTAATTAAGACTTAGATGTGCTAAATCAACTTTCTCAAGAGTTAAAAATGTAGAAAGTAGCATCACATATATAAGGTGGGGCAAATGTAGGTTTACAGTTCACGATGGCAAGTAATACCAAAATTTATAAATAATATAAGATTAAACTCGGTTTTGCAGACTCACAACTGTGAACCTATGTTTGCCCCACCCAGTATGTACAACCAAGACTACTTGCTTCCAGCAGTACATTCTAGGAGTTCGTAATTCGATGTAGGAGATAAGATATATTCTATAATGTGTAATTGGCCTAAAAGTGCTATAGTCGCCCTGGCCAGGTATCTCAGTTCATTAGAGTGTTCCATACCCCAAGGTTGCAGATTGTATTCCTGGTCAGGGCACATACGAGAATCAGTCAATGGATGAATAAATAAGTGGAACAACAAATCGGTGTTTCTCTCTAAAGTCAATTTTTTTTTAAAGTGCCCTAGTCATAGTATGGATAGTAGTGTCCTCTGTGGGCTAATCTGTCTACTCCTTAAGTGTAAATACTCCTTTTCACTCTGTAATACCCTGGATGATCATAACTGCTTCCAAGCATTTTTTGTTGTTGTTGATTCATTCAGTTATTCACTTAATAAATTTGTTGACTGTCTTTTCCATTTTGTTGTTGAATATCTTAAATGCCAAGCATCATATGAGGAACTGGGTGTACAGACAGTGTAGTAAGTCCCTATTCTCATGGCATGTAAAGTCTAATTGATAAGAAAGGCACATGTAAAGCCCGGACTAAGTTGGTGTTGATGGGAATAGAGAAAGTGGATATATTAATTATATAAGCATTTTGGGTATAGAATTGACTGGGCTTGTATTGAAGAGGAAAGTATTAAAAATAATGTTCAGGTTTTAGCCATGAGTAACTGAGGATATTGATAAAGTGGTGCAAGGAAATAAGGGCCACAGCTTTTAGGGGGAAAGATGCATTGAACATAAAAGTGAGGAGTAAGATGAAGGTAAAGATGTTAAATAGATCTGTTAGAATGATTTGGAATATATTTGATTTTTTGTTTACAGATGGGTTGGATAAAATCAGCTGGGGAATGGAAAAGACAGACACCCTATGAGTTGAGTCCTAGCACCAGGTTCTATCTAGCATTTATAGATTAAATAGGATGAGAAACCAGCAAAGGAGCCTGAGAAAGGACCAGGAAAAGTGAGCTATGAATTGCGTAGATGGAATGGTGTTTCAGGAAACAGTGTGGTTAACTGTTCAGATCTATTTAGAGCACTGGAAAGGGCAAATACTTCCCCTTCATCCACTTAATTACTCCTCTCCAGGTCTTAAATTTAAGAGATTCTCCTTTTAGGGGTATTCTAGATTATATTAAATTTTAGGAGATTCTTTTGATTCTTCCATTGTATACTTTACTTCTTCATTATACTTTATTGCAATTAGCTATTTATCTTGTTTTCCTTCATTAAATTATTGTTTCCACAAAGTCATAAAGCCTCATTTGTTTTGTTCAACCCTGTATTCATAGCTCCTGGCATGGTGTCTTACACCAAGAACACCTACATGAATAATATTAGGAGTGACTGAATGAATAAAGTGTCACTCTAGTGCCACCTAATATGGAAGAACTTTTTTATATCCAAAGGGAAATTTTTTTGTTTTAGATTTTATTTATTTATCTTTAGAAGGGAAAGGAAGGAGATAGGGAGGGAAATATCAATGTATGGTTGCCTCTCGTGTGTCCCCTGCTGGGAACTGGCCTGCAACCCAGGCATGTGCCCTGCTGGGAATCGAACCTCAATCCTCTGGTTCACAGGCCTGCGCTCAATCCACTGAGCTACACCAGCCAGGGCTTCCAAAGGGAAATTTTTGTTTTGGAGAATGTTTAAACAGAGTTTGTGGGAACAGGGAGGCTGTAAAGAAGAAACCAAAATAAAAATCACTGTTCATGTAAATGTGTGCAGAAAAATACTAAAACATGGGCTGGAAGGAGGAGATGACATAACAGGTGGTGCTTAAATTGGGGGAGAAGGAGTGATACTGAGAAAACATATAAGAAGGGAATTTAACTTGAAGGTTCAGTTCCTTTAAAAAATGTTACAAGCAGCTATGACAGGTGTGGCTCAGTTGGTTAGGAAAGGTTGCAGGTTTGATTCCAGGTCAGGGTACATGCCTTGAGTTGGCAGGTTCAGTCTCCTTGGGTCACATGAGGCAACCAGTCTTTGCGGCATTGATGTTTCTCCCCCTTTTTTCTCCCTCCCTTCTCTCTCTAAAAATAAATAAATAAAAATTAAAAAAATGAAAATGTTAGAAGCAAGCCCTGACTGGTGTAGCTCAGTGGATTGAGCGTGGCCCTGCGAACCAAACAACCACAGTTTGATTCCCAGTCATGCACATGCCTGGGTTGCAGGCCAGTTCCCAGCAGGGGACACACGAGAGGCAACCATACATTGATGTTTCTCTCCCTCTCTCCTTCCCTTCCCCTCCCCTCTAAAGATAGATAAAGAAAAAAATGTTAGAAGCAAATATGACAGATTTAGGAATCATTAAGTACCATTTGTAGTGTTAATGAAAGTGACCCAGGTTCAGAGTATAAATTTTGGAAAATAAAAAGTATATAAATCACTCCATCGAACAACAATAAAATAAATTTTTTATTTAATTATTTTTCAAGTACAGTTTTCTGTCTTTTACTCCCATTCCAGCCAACCCCCCCAATTTTTTTTTCCAAGAAAAAAGAATTACTCCTCTGTAATCACACCACCCTAGAGATAACTTAATGTTTTCGATGTGTTTTATTTTCTGTGTATGTTGCACTGCCTATGCTTATCAATGTATTTATTAAATTATCATTATATAGTTTATATCCTACTTTTATTGAATGTTTAAAGTTACTGATTTTTAACTTTCTATTGAAATAAAATACCCATACAGAAAAGTGGTCATAGGTACAGTTGATTAATTTTTACAAACTGAGCATACTAATCTAACACAGCCATATTAAGAAATAAAACATTATTAGCACCTTTGAAGCAAACCCTCAGGTTAATTTTTACTGATTTAGCTTGTTTCTAGCCATTTAATGTTTCTATGGAGAAATTATTACTGAATTGGAAAAACAAGTATCACAGAGAATACTGTTTTTGATGTGCTGCCACTGGTGTAGGTTAAGAATGCTAATTGGGGTGAATGGAAAGTGCAGCAGAGTACAGGCAGATGCAAAAATCCAAAATGTTGAAGGAGATAGAATGTTAAATTTTTTTGAGTTATTGTAGGTGAGTGACAGGAAATAAGGCTGGGACCAACTTAGAGGCTTTTGTGTCAGCCAAACAGTGGAATGAAGTACTGAGAATATCTTTGCTAAAATTTAAAATGTATGTTTTTGTTTGTAGGCACACAAGTCTCTGAATTTTGTTTCGACACTGCTTCAGATTACTATGTCGGAACAACTGGATTTACCTGTGAGACAAGCAGGCAAGTTTCCTGAATTATTTTCGTGAATGTATGTAAATATTATTGTTTAAAAGATTCTGAATAGCAGAAATATCTTGGGGTGGCCCTGTAAGTGATTTTCTTCCCTGAAAATCAATTTTCCTTCATGTGTTTACTGCAGATAGCAGGTATCTTGAGATTTGGTGGCAGAGTTTAAAGGAATGTAACATTTCATTGAATTAAAAGAGAAACTGGAAAGAAAAACCAGTGGGGTTTATTGAAAGATTCTTTGTTTAGCCCTTGACAGTTTGGCTTGGTTGGAGCATCATCCCTTAGTGGAAGGGTTGTGGGTTCAATTCCCAGTCTGGGCGCTTACTACCCCCCTCCAGACACATGCAGGAGGCAACCAATTGATGCTTCTCTCTTGAATTGATGTTTTTCTTTCTCCCTTCTTCTCTCCCTCTTTCTCTAAAGGCAATGAAAACATGTTCTCAGGATAGGATAAAAAAATTTTTTAAGAGTCTTTGAATATGCAATTATTCCTTAACAGCCATTTGTATTTGTTGTTTATTTCAACATTTTAAAAAGTGCTATTTCTTAGTTCAGATTTTAGTGAGGTATTGAGCAATTTCCTCACTATCAAAGTCTATGAAAATATGGCATACTACTTCTGTTATTATGTTAGTCTACAAAGTAATACACTTTACATCTTTATGGTTTATTACTTAATTTCTTTGCCAGATGTATAAATTTTACAGGAACTATAAAGTACCAATAGTTTCATCATTCTAGAAAAAACATTCTGATGCTATTTCTTGCTCTTTCGTTCTTTCATACAAATTTTGTTTTAACGAATAACTTTTTCTGCTTTCTTTGGTGTATAGTGAGCACTTTTATTTTACATAGAGTTAGTCTCAAAAGTTATCTAGATATATATTAAAGATTTTATTTATTTTTAGACAGAGGGAAAGGGAGGAAGAGAGGGAGAGAAACATCAATTAGCTGCCTCTCATATTCACTGCAACTGGGGATGGGACCTACAACCCAGGCATGTGCCCTGACCAGGAGTCAAACTAGTAAAACCTTTACTTTGCAGGACCATGGGCAGGTGAGTCACACCAGTGATGGCAAAAATTAAATTTTAATGGCTAAGTAATTTACCATAATGCGCTATGTGCAGTGAACTATTTCTTAATTGTTAGAGTTTAATCTCAGGTCTGTTTTATTAACAGTTGTATCCCCAGAACCTAAAATATTGCCTAAGGGTACTCAATAAATAAATGAATGAATGTAATTTAATTGTTAGGATTTTTTTAAATTGGCATGTAAATTGCACAATAATGGGACATTTGTTGAACTATAAAATACAGTAACTTAACTGGACTCTGACCAATAGTAAACCTTATTATAAATTTCTAAATAAATAGAAAACGATTGCATTGATTATTTTAACTGTTGTTCCTTTTTTGACTAATGAAGTTGATGTTTTCTGATTTGGTTATTTTTAAGATAAGAATCTTTGACTTTGAACCCTGGCTGGTGTGGCTCAGTGAATTGAGTATCAGCCTGTGAACTTGAAGGGTTGCCGGTTCAGTTCCCAGTCAGGGCACATGCTTGGGTTCAGGCCAGGTCTCCATTAGGAGATGTGCAAGAGGCAACCACACATTGATGTTTCTCTCCCTCTCTTTCTTCCGTCCTTCCCTTCTCTCTAAAAATAAATAAATAAAATCCTTAAACAATTTTTAAAAAAGAATCTTGGCCTTTGAATCTCAAATTTTTACTAAGATTTTCAAAGTGTTTGGCATTTCGGAGGGACCTTAACAAATTTTAGAGACTTGATTATGTGTATTGTATGCGTTATGTGGTTCTGAGTCCTTGATACCCTATGTACAAGTGGTGTCCATAACATCTTGTGTTCAACAGCCCTGGTCAGCTCATGTAGAATTGTGCCTATGGCTTCTTTTATGGAGTCCATCCATCTCATATTTTCTCTTCTCTTTTCTTGCGGTCTCCTATTTTTCCCAGAATTACTATGTTTTCCAAAGAACCCTGCTTTCTCATGATCTTTCCTAAGTAGAAGAGCTTCAGTTTTGTCATTTTTGCCTATGGCAGTGTTTCAGGCTTAATTTGCTCTTCGACCCACTTCACCTATGCATCTTTCTGGTACTCCGGGGTATCTGTAGAGTAAACTTAAATTGTACTAGGAAATATTTTCTTAGTGTTACAGAACCAGAAGCAACCAAACTATGGGACTGTCGAACATTTAAAAACAATCATTTAGAAGTTACATCCTTATAATATTTTAATGGTACTTTGTAGTGTATGGCATATGGTAGTATCACCTGCTAGAGTTTGAAAAATTCTGTGTCTGTAGTAGAGTTCTTTCTGGATGGAGTATCATGAGATTGTTGCAGTGTAGTTCTCACTTGTTAGACCAAACAAACACCAAACCAGCATTTTACAAATAAGTATGTTTACCCCATTTCTCTGTGCATTACAAGAAAAGGACATACTTAGAGGCTGTGTCAGGTCTTTATTTGATCTTCGTTCTGTTATGGAGCTAAAGAATCAAAATTCTAGAAGTTGTGTCAATCTGAAATATGTCAGTCCTATATACTTAGTGTTGTTTATGGTAGATATAGTTTATCTTAAAACATTTGCTGAAGGGTATTTTAATGTGTAGTCTTAATCTTTTAAAAAATACTATGGGATGTATTTTAATTCCAAGATAAAGCAAAGTAGAAGATAAAAATTATAGAGTTGTATTCATTACCCTTATTTAAATAGGTTCCAGACTCTAGGTAAGAGAAGAGCCAGTGTTTGCAGAATTTAGGAATTAATTAATTTTGAATAATTTCCCTTTCCTATACATTTGTGATTGAGCTTTCCTTTCCCTGTTCATCCCTCTTTAACCCTCTTCATCTGGGGGGAGAGGACTATATAAAAAGCATTGTTAGCAGTCTAGTTTAGTTTGAGTTAACCAGCAGTGTACATTATAGCAGTTTGATAGCAGACAGAAAATAATATGTAATTTGGAACATAGCATATTCTTCCATGAAATAACATGCATTTGAAGCAGTGTAATTGTGATATGATTGAAATGCTTACTTAGATTTGTAGACCAAGAATCTTGATATACTCTACTTTTTCTGATAAAAATAACCTTTGTATCTTAGTTGGCCTGCTGTAACAAAAAACCATAGGCTAGGTGATTTACAAACAAATTTATTTCTCACAGTTCTGCAGACTGAGAAGTCCAAAGTTAAGGCATTGACAGATTTGGTGTCTGAAGAAGACCCACCTTCTGGTTCACAGAGCCTCAGATAGTGGAAGAGGGAGAGCAGGCTCTCTGGGGTCTCTATTATAAAGGCTTTAATCTCATTCATGAGGACAGAACCCTAATGATGCACCAAAGGCTGTAATAGCATCACATTGAGGATTAGGATTTCAATCTGAATTTGGGGGGGTGAGGGTGGGCACAAACATTTACTATGTAAGAGTGATTTTAACTGTAGAATATATTGGTATGTATAGCTGGTTTTGTCTTTGGAGGCTTCATTTAGAAAAATTTATTTGTTAAATGCTGGCTAGTATGATTCAGTGGATTGAGTGCCAGCCTGCAAATCAAAGGGTCACTGTTCCATTTCCAGTCCAGGGCCCATGCCTGTGTTTCAGGCCAGGTCCACAGTAGGGGAGGTGTGAGAAGCAACCACACATTGCTTATTTTCTCCTTCCCCTCCCCTCTCTAAAAATAAATAAATAACATATAGTTTTAAATTGTTAAAACTAATCTAATTTTCCTATAGAAAATAGGATAAAAAGTGTTATGAATAAATGTGATATAAAAGGTCTAAACAGTTTAATGTGTAGTGTGTTTATTTGCAAAGTTACTTTAGTCTCTTTAATAAAAATCTTTGTGGGTGACTACTGTAGGTAAGTATTAAATTTGTGTTTGATGGTCGATTTTTATAATAATAGACTGCATTAACTTATATTTCAGGTGTTATCTATTTGAAAAATATGGTAACGCAGTATTGGCCAGATCGAGAAACAGCATCACGGGATATATCCCCTTATACTATTCCAGAAGAAGATCGACATTGTATTCGAGAAAATATTGTAGAGGCCATTATTCATTCTCCTGAGCTCATCAGGTATGTATGTATGTATGTATGTATGTATGTATGTATGTATAAAACTTGTTCATTTTACAGGTATATAACTTGTGGGGGTTTTGGGAGGGCATGGAAGAGGGCCTTTTCAGAACATGCAAACCTGTCATTTTTATGGCAGAAAACTTAACAAATGGTGTAACAGTAGGGTTTTTTTGTTTTATTTTTGTACTGTAATTGAATTGTACATTTATAAAACCAAAACCTTTTAAACTTCATGTAAAATTTGTGAAACTGTGTGTTCAGATGAAAGAGGGTAAAGAAAACTACAAAATGTTATATAATTTATATTATACTCTTGTTCTTTGAAATAGTAGGAACATAGAGTTTCGCTGATTAACTTACTTTTGTCTGAAGTGCCTTTTTCGGTTTGTTTGTTTGTTTGTTTGTTTGTTTGTTTGTTTTTGAGTTAGTAAAATTTCACTTAGGTGGCATTTCTTCCTCATTGTTTATTTCTGACTTTTAGGGTACAGCTTACTACATGTATTCATCATATCATCAAACATGATTACCCAAGTCGCTGGACTGCCATTGTGGACAAGATTGGCTTTTATCTTCAGTCTGATAACAGTGCTTGTTGGCTAGGAATTCTTCTTTGCCTTTATCAGCTTGTGAAAAATTATGAGTAAGTGTCTCTTTCAATTCCTACAGCATTTTGAGAAATGGGAAAAGTTTGGAAAATATAAGCAAATTTGATTGAACATCTAAAATTACTTTTGGTATATATTGGGTTGGCCAGAAAGTTCGTTTGATTTTTTTCCATAAGATCACTTTAGTAGCACTTAGTTGTCTTTAACTTTATTCGAAACAATTTTGATAAATTGTATTGAGACAGCATGCATTTAGAAAAAAGCTTATCAAAATTGGTGAATTTTTGTACAGCTGTTTAAATATAGAAGGTGGAAGAAAATAAGCAACACTTTCAGCATATTGTGCTTTATTATTTCAAGAAAGGTAAAAATGACAAATGCAAAAAGCTTTGTGTAGTGTGTGGAGAAGGTACTATGACTGATCGAATGTGTTGAGTGGTTTTTGAGTTTTGTGCTGGAGAGTTCTCACTGGATGATGCTCTACTGTTGGGTAGACCAGTTGAAGTTGAGAGCAATCTCATCGAGACATTAATTGAGAACAATCAATGTTATACCATGTGGGAGATAGCCAACATACTCAAAATATCCAAATCAGTAAAGTTATTGGTAAAAGTGAAAAATGTGTCTTTTATGGAAAAAACCATGTGGACATTTTGGCCAACCTAATATATTAAAATTATATTTTAATTGTGTTCTCTTTTTGAAATAGCATTTTTATTTTAATTCTGCAGTCTCTTCTGTTGATTCAACTAATAAACTATTTGTGTCCTTTTTTTCTTATTAAAAAAATCATGTTTCCCTATTTAAAAAATCAGTTATCTAACTTCTCAATATGGGGTGATAAAGATGTTTGTTTTTTGTTTTTATTTTTTAAATGTGAAGGGAATCATAGTACATTGAGCATTAGAGCTCTTTATTGCTTTTGGCTTTCTGTGAATTTTTATCTTAATTTGGGATCTTGATAACTTGCAAGGACCTATCTCTAATTTTTTTAAAAATATGTTGGAATTTCATGACCATTTTTAATCATTGTGTTTTAAGGAATTCATAGCCACCTGTTTCAGTGTTTGCATATTTCAGCAAGTTATAGTTCATATTAGTATTAGTAAGAGATTATTTTAAACCAAGAAACCATCTTAGATCTGGATCTAGGGATAATAAAAATATATAATCTTGGAAGTTGAGGTATGTAGCTCTGAAAGTAATAAGTCAAATCTCAGAGGGGTTATCTCGTGTATGTGTGTGTGTGGTGAAAGTAATGAAATTGATAGGTATATGAAAGTTTTGGCATTAGAAAATTATGAGGAAGAGTTAAGGAACACTTAAACCACGATGGTGGCTTTATTCCCAGTCCTACCAGCCACACAGATGCCATTGTGATCCTTGTAATTATGGTGCTTGTAGTTAGCCTCTGATACCATTTTTGGATCCCATCTCAAAGTTGCTGATGAACTGCTGCATTTGTTCTGAGCAGGAGAGAGAAATATACCATTTACAGCATTGGTACTGGTGTTTTCTTGTGTTCCCACCAGCTACCCATCTTCCTGCTAAGGAATGTTCCAGCTGTTGCTCCAACCCCTGTCAGAGTGCCAGTTGTTGTAGTTCTGGTAAGTGAGTGACTAAAATGAGAGAGAATAACAATAATAAGCTGTATTGTCATTGAGGCGGTCCAAGTCTCTTCTGTCTTATAATCTTAGCAGGAGAGAGTTTGACAGGGATTTTTTTAATGGGAGACGCAGGAGGCTGCTACAGTATTGGAATTCCAGTTCATTTTTAGCCATTGTTTTATTGTGGAGCACAAGGTATTCACAAGGGATCTGTGTGGACTAAAGCAGTTCTAAGAAAATTCTTGGCGAAATTGGAAGTTGTGGTGGCCTTCAGGAGCATAGATCCTCAGGAAATACTTGTCAGTTGAAGGAGCACAGCAGGAGCACTTGAAGAGGAAGGCAAGTCACAGCAAATGGAGTAGTGTGAACAAAACGAAAGGTACAGAGGTGGAAATGAGCCTTTGTCTTTAGTGGGTACTGAGGACACTACTATAGTATGGATAATTTTTGTTGAAGGTTTGGGGGAAATTTTTGGACTTTAAAATTGGGACTATGCTAAAGAGGATTTTGAATGTCATGCGAAATTTGGATGTGATCTTTTAGATACTGGTAGACTATTGAAGTTTTTTTTTCTTTCTTTTTTTTTTTAACAGAAAGTTATGATCTAGTATTTAAGAATTTCCTATCAACATGGCTCACCAGATTGACACGCTGTAGCCTTGTAGTGGAGCTTTTATTGATACATTTTCACAAGTTCAGGAACTTAGTCTTATGGAATAGTAATTTGTTTCCTACCATAAATTACTTTTATACCAATTATCTTAGATTAGCAACTAGTACCACCCAACTTCTAGTCCTCTACTCAACGTAGAGAGGAAAGTAGGAGAGAATGTCTAGCATAAGTAGGTATTCAAACTCTTGATGTGGGTGATCAACTTGGGTTGAATAAATGGAGAGGGGTAGGGGTACGTAATATAGTTCTCACCTTTATTGTTAAAAGGGACTATTGTCAATAATTATTATAGTTTGTATAATCAGATTGGAGAGTGCACATGGCTTTGTTTTATCAACTCAAAGACATGTACAGATAACTTTTTAAAATGTATGTACTAGGTATATTTTCTCAGTACATTAAAATATTTAAAATCATCTGCCAATTTTGTTTAATAGTCTCAGTCATTATTTATGTGAACATTTCTCTTGGTGTTTTTTATTCTTGGCAACTAACTTTGGCTTTCATTTCACCCAATAGCAAAAAAGAATAAGCTTTTTAAAAATGTACTCAGATATTCAATTCTCTTTTTTAAAATTCACACCAAGGACTTTTTTTTTTTAATTTTAATTTTAATTTTAATTTTCTTTCTCCCTCCCTTCCTTCCTTCCTTCCTTCCTTCCTTCCTTCCTTCCTTCCTTCCTTCCTTCCTTCCTTCCTTCCTTCCTTCCTTCCTTCCTTCTTTCCTTCCTTTCTTCTTTTTTTGAGAGAGAAAGGGACAGAAACTTATGTGTGTTTCTCTGTGTGAGAGAAGCATATATTGGTTGCCTCTGTTAGGTGCATGGACCCAGGATTGTATGTGCCTGGACCAGACGAGGCATGAGCCTGCAGCCTGGGCATGTGCCCTGACTTGGGAAACAAACCACAACCTTTCAGTTGTTAGTCAGTGGTCCAGCTAGGGCAGATTTGCAATTCTTAAGTACATTTTTACTATTCAGAATGTCTACCAGTAGATAAACCTGGATTCTGGTAAAAAGAAAACCAACTTAATGCCTTTTAGATAACCTAATCTAAAAAAAAAAAAAAAAAGCTGTGCTTTTTAGAATAATGACTTCTTGCACTGGCTGCTGTAGCTCAGTAGAGTGAGTGTGGGACTGTAAACCAAAGGGTCAGTTTGATCCCAGGCACATGCCTGGGTTGCTGGCCAGGCCCCCAGTAGGGGGCATGTGAGAGGCAACCACACAATGATGTTTCTCTTCTCTTTCCCTTCCTCTCTCTCTAAAAATAAAATAAAATCTTTAAAAAATTTAGAATAATGACTTCTTTAACACTACTTTGTATTTTGCAAAGCTATTATGCCTACTGACTCCTTAATAATGGAAGCTGGAGTTATTTTTTTCATAGTTCTATACTAAAAATTCAATTATTTAATTTCTCTTTTGAAATAAAGCCACAGACCTTTCAACAATCCAGCTAAATGCTAAGGGATCCATAAGTGAGAATGTCTCAGATTAGCAATTCGTTACCCATAATCTTGGAGCAAAATGTGATTCAAAATTCAGTATTTTTTGGATTTTAGGAAGGAAATAAGGTTCACATTATACATATTATGTAATGTTGCTATTGAAATCTGTACCAGCAACGAGCGAAGATGGAAGGCCAGAGGGGCACTGTGCCGCGTGGTGAAGGCACAGGCCCTTTTTTGGAACCAGCTGCAGGCATGAAGCTCATTGTGCAGCGGGCAGCAGGATGGAAAAGTTAACAAAGAACCTTCTTTACTGTACAAGAAGAGTCTCAGATAATATCTTTAACCATTAAGGACTCAGTAAAATTAGGTACCTCCCCATTTTACAGTTGAAGATCACCATTCAGCAAATTAGGACTCTTTTCTATAGGATGAGGTTACATCCAGATAAACCCATTGTTAACTATCCTAAGTTAAAAATATTGCTACTTCTTCATAGACGTTTTTAAAAATCAATATTTAACTATTTGGAAATGAAACATCATTTAAAATCCTACCAAACTCCTAATTCCAAAGAATTGGCAACATTCTCTGATCAAGAAAAGAAGTGACTGTATGTTGAAAGTATCCTGGCACTGGTCCCATTTTTTTTTTCTCCTTGAATTTGAATAAATATGGAGAAATGGTGCTTTGATGACAACTGTTGTCTTAATAAGACTAACGGTACAATGGACTATTTCTCTTAATTCTTATTCAGATGCTAGAAAACTTCCTGTGTTTGGCAATTCTGAAGCTCAGAGACACTGGCAAGAAATTAGTTATCATTTACCAAACTATGCTATTTTAAAAGCAGTGATAACAATTTACTGTATTGTGGATTGTATTATATACCTTTTATAGCTTATCACAGTCTTTTATGTGTGTATGTGGCAGTCATAAATCCAAACTGGATTTCTCTCTATACCTCACGTGGATATGAGTCAAGTGCACAAGCTCTTCATGTGTGCAACAGTGTTAATTGCCTATTTGCTGATTTACATACCCTCAGTGGTTTTGTACTGTTGTTGTTTAAAAGATATGTCAACTAAGAAAAACATTGCTAATGTATTATGCATATTGCTGTATCCAGGCCTTATTCTTACTATGGACATTTTCAGTATTCTTTACTAATTTAGAAATAAAGTCAGAGGCATACATATTATGAAATCTAGTCTCAATATGTGTTAATGCTGTCATTCTCTGATATCTTTCTTGTTAGGCAGTGTACTTGCTTTTTTTTTTTTTTACTTCCTTATATAGACTGTTTTCACAGTGATATGTGAGAATCTCTTTACAAAGTTTTTCTTAAATAGTAAAATAAATTTTTGCTAAAAGTAGAATTGCTTTTTCACACCTTTTTATCTTGGCAACTGATTAGCTCTTTGGAGAGTGGGGGAAAAGGGACTGAGTATAATTATATTTTCTCCTAATTTGAAAAAGGTATAACATACCTTTTATCTTTTGTAAATGTTATCTGACATTGACAAAGGGAAAATTTTTACCCTTTTTTGAGTATTAAAACAAGATGTTTCTCTCACAGTGGTAGCTGGGAGCTTCAGGAAACTGAATAATTAAAAGTTACTATGTGGATTTTATGTGTAACTTTTATGACGAAAATAAGGAACATTCAAATAAACAGATCTTGGAGAAGTTTTTTAAATCTACACCAACACTCAATAATAAAACACATTATTATTATATTGGCTATAAAATGTGTGAATATTTACTCCAAATGGAATAAATGAAGATCCTAAGTAGCCTGCTGAGGTTGGGTTTTGTTGCCAAATGGGTTGTTTAAAAAACTGCTGGTTTATAATGCTTTTAGAAGTACAATATTTTTCTACTTTATATATGTCACTCTACCTTAATTAGTAAAATGTAAATTACTTAAGGATGATAAAATATAATTGATTTTATATCTGTTGGCTGCTAATGTTTAAAAGCCAAATCATTGTAGCTCTTCAGTTATTCATTCAGTCTTCAGAATTAGGAATAACATAGTGAAGTGGTTAAGAGGGCAGACCCTGGATCTTGACTGCTGAGATTCATACCTAGATGGTGTATTTGGGGGAAGGTAGTTAGTTGCCTTGCCTGTGCCTCCATTTCCTCAGCTATAGAAAACAGGATACTAATGGGGCCTTGAAGCTTATGACCTGATGATAAATGCTGAGTCAATTTTATATATTCTTTTATTATTTGAGGTTTTTCTAAAGTTGCTTTTGGTTGCAGAGTAGGTTTTTATTTATTTGCTTTTATTTGTATAAACAAGTAAATGTAAATGTCATCTATAAATAAAATTGTGAAGTGAAGAAGTAAATTCTTACAGAATTAGTTTGTATTCCTACCCAAAGGTACAAGAAACCAGAGGAGCGGAGTCCATTGGTAGCAGCAATGCAGCATTTCCTGCCCCTGCTAAAGGACCGTTTTATTCAGCTTCTTCCCGATCAGTCTGATCAGTCTGTTCTTATTCAGAAACAGATTTTCAAGATCTTCTATGCTCTTGTTCAGGTAATTTTTATAATTTGTTTTTTTTAGTATAAAAAGCTGGTGTATCTAGATTGAGTGGATGATTTGCTAGTCAAATATAAATTGCCAAAATTATAAGTATGTTAAAAGTATAACCAAGCATACTTACCCAAATACACAAACAAGTCTAATCTTAAATTATAAATGGTCAATCTTAAGTTGTCTTAAACCCTCGAATATTATTTACAAAATTAGTAAATTTTTTCTTGTACCTTTCACCTTAAAAATTCACAAGTCTAGAAATCAGTTACTTGATTATAGTTTCTGTATCAAGTACCCTGATATGCCAAATATACATAGATTATCCCAGTAATTACAAAACCTATTCCTAAGCTTACATTACACAAAAATATTAATACTGTAGGCTTGACTGGCACATGATAATGGGCTTCAACATTTTTGTATGTTGTTCTAAATCTTTGGAGTAAAAGTTATCCATTAAGGAAATGGTTGTATCTGTATTCTCAGTGAATGTAATTACTTAAGAAACCTCAAGTTTTTTATTAGGATTAAGATTTTGGTTCTTTTGTGTCATATAACCATAGAAGGATTCATTCCTTCTACCAGGACTTTGGTTCAATTCATGCATTTACTTACTTTTTAAATCTCATTTAAATAGACCTATGACTTTGCCTCCACCGAAACTGTAACTGGCTCACTCCCTTGTTTGGTTGGATTTTGCATGTCTTTGCTAGATCTTTAAAGATAACCTAATATCTCTAATTCTTAACCTAAGGGCACTTTAATTGGCCCCTTCTTATGCAGTTAATTTTAAAGTGCTTTGATAGACCATATATATACTGTTTCTGTTCCCCCCCCACCCCGACTGGTAGAACCTCCATCTTTTAGACTAAAAATAATTTCTTTTTGTAAATTATTTTAGGGCATAGGGCATAATATCTCCACAACAAATTTTTTGAGACTAGCATACCTTAGTAAAATACAAGTATAGCCCCTTCTCATTTGTGAAAATATGTCCTAAAATCCTAAATAGGATATTGATTTTATGAACCTATTAAGAGAGAGGATTTTGGCCCTGGCTGGTGTAGCTCATTGAATTGAGCACGGGCCTGTGAAGCAAAGGTTCCGAGGTTCAATTCCCAGTTAGGGCACATGCCTAGGTTGCAGGCCAGGTCCCCAGTAGGGGATGGATGCATGAGAGGCAACCACACGTTGATGTTTCTCTCCCACCCTTTCTCCTTCCCTTCCCTTCTCTCTAAAAATAAATAAATAATATATATATATTTTAAAGAGAGTACTTTACCACCACTGCCCCCCCCCACACACTAAAAAACAAAAGAGAGAGAGGATTTATTTTAAGAATGCAAGAATGGATAACAGTCAGAAATCGCCTTCTGTGATTTAACTCTTACTGGAAAAGACAGGCCTGTAGCCATCTTTAAGGATGTTCTTCTTGCTTTAAATAAAACTAAGAATTCTGGAATTGAAATTCCTTACCTTGATTAAAAAAATGTTCATAAGAAATCCATAGTAAATATCATATCTTACGGTGAAAATAAGATATATTTCCAGTAATTTGGGGAAAAGATAAGGGTGTCCCCTGTCATTGCCACAATTCTCCAGTACAGGTAACTAACTGAATTTGCCTGTGTACTAAAAACAAGAAATGTGGATTGAATGAAATACTTTTTGTAGGTATTGTGTAGAATAAAAGAAAGTATAATTTTCTTTTGTAAGGATTTAAAAATTAATACTTGATTTTAATTTAGTATACACTACCCCTGGAGCTGATAAACCAACAGAACCTGACAGAATGGATAGAAATTTTGAAGACTGTTGTGAACAGGGATGTACCTAATGTAAGTCTCTCTGTGATCTATTACTAAGCATAAATATTTAGTTCAATCTTTTGAGAATGTTAACTGCTATTTTCTGTAACATTTTAATAAACTTTGGTAATTCATGATGCAGATTTTTCTAGATAGACACCATTTCATTGTTTACATATGAGCATATATTCAGTAAAAATTTGTAAAGCGTTATTTCATATACTGTTGTTTAAATGCCGGTATATCTCTATTAATTTCATCCTGATCCTTCTGTTTCTTTTCAGTTTTTAATGAAAAGCTCATAACATGTATTATCTCGCATAGTTATAAGTTTTTTTTGTTATATGAACTTTTAAAATCTGCTTTCTCAGCAACCTTCAAATATATAATACAATATTATTAACTGTAATCATCACGATATACATTACATCCCCAGAACTTATTTATCTCATAACTGGGAATTTGCTTCTTTTAACTCCTTCCCAGTGATTACTACGGTAATCATTTCACAATATATACATATATCAAATAATTCTGTTGTGTACCTTAAACTAATACATTATATATAAATTACATCTTTTTAAAAAGTCCATGGATTTTTAGCCTAATAATTTTTTAAGACATCTGTGAACAAGAAAGAACTTGTAAATTGACTAAACTTTATAGTTATATTACTTGTTTTTCTAAATAATTTTATAGAAATATAACTTATAAAAACGTTAAACTGACCCTTTCAAAGTATTTTGATTCAGTGGTTTTTAGTTCATACATAACTATCCAACTATGCTTTTTTAAAAAATATTAATCAAATTTAAAAAAATAACTAGTTTTTCTTTATAATCTAGTTTAGTGATTTTCAACTGGTATGCCGTAAGAATTTATTAAACATGTAGTACTTGACTTTAGTTAGGGGCACTGGCCACTTTTCCCTTACTGTCAAAATAAAAAATGATAGCTGCCAAAACAGCAATAAATGTCCAGTGAGAATGAATCAAAATTATAACTATTTTTTGTTTGTCAGGTTGGCAAAAAAGTAATTAGTTTATGTGTGCCAGGAGATGAAAAAGGTTGAAAATCACTGACTAGTTTTCTGGAGAGGTAGGGAATTTACAATCCTAAATTACCTCGTGTGTTTTAGTGTTGTTACTATCATACTTTTTTAATCTTCAAAAAAATATCCTGCTGAATTTATTTTACATAGACATGGAAGAGTTCTGCAATTTATCCAACACAATTTTCTTAGTAGTGTAAGTAAAAAAAGAAGAAACCTGTTCTGTAGCAATAAGCTACAAATTTTTACTTAAAAATAAAACACAAATAAATATGACGTTTCCCTTACTTCATAGGAAACTGTTGTAGTTTGATGTGTATTTTTCTGTATATACTTAATACAACTATAAAATATATATAAATTTTTATATTGACCTTTTTGGTATAATTTATAATCATAAACATGCATATATTATAAGAAAATAGTTCAACAAGTTATGACAATCACCTGCACCCATGTAAGTCACCTAGCATGATTACTCATGGCTTGTTCTAGTCATCCCTACCATCGCCATTCTCATTTCCAGCATCATAAATTAGTTTCATCTGTTCTAGAACTTAATATAAAAGTACTTTTTTTTGTATCTATCTTCTTTTGCTTAATATATTTATCAGCTAGATTAAGTTGTGTTGTGGTAGTTTGTTTCTTTTTATTGCTAAGTAGTATCCTGTTATGTTGATACACTACTGTTTATTTAAAGTTGGATGTACAAGTTGATGGACGTGGGTGTTCTCAGAATTTTAGTATTAGATAAAACTACTATGAACGTTCTTACACAAGTCTCTGTGATCATATGTATTGTCATTTTTCTTGAGTTGAAAACCAAAGAATGGAATTGGGTCATAGCATAGGTATATGATTTCTTAATGTAGTTGATCCATTGATGTCACTGCAGTGTATGGGAGTTTTAATTGCTATAACTTAAAAAAATGTCATGGACGTCTTAGGTAAATATAGTGATCTAATCTATTCATCTTTTATGGAAGTTCCATAATTAAACATCTCCTTATTAATGAAAAGTTCTTGGCAGTTTTTCACTATTATAAATAGTTTTGCAAATGAATAGTCATACATGTATCTTTATTTATACTAACATTTCTAAAATGGAGTTTCTCACAACCTTTTGATTTGAACTATACTGGTTTTGATTAAACTACTTGCCAGGGCCTTGATTTTATATTATGTGGGACTTGAGTAAAATGTTTCAGTTTAAGCTTTAAAAGAATTTTGAAAAAGCATATCCTTCATGAACAAGTAGCTGAAGCACTGGAAGTGCCTTTTATATTTAAATAAGGGTTAGGACTATTTCAGATCTAGCTTTTTATTATGGAAGGCCGGCCACTGTAGGAGGATTCTTTGAGAATCTGTTCTCACCTCATACTGTTTCTCTTATATTGTATCATCTTTTATTATCTATCATTAAATAAATGTCTCTTTAAATAAGGAAACACTTCAAGTTGAAGAAGATGATAGACCTGAGTTACCATGGTGGAAATGTAAGAAGTGGGCTTTGCATATTTTAGCAAGGCTTTTCGAAAGGTAAGCTCCCAGATATATGATGATTAAGTTCCTTTTTCTCACACTTTTTGTTTGTAAGTGCTGATATAAAGCATTATAAAGAAACAGTGGACATTTTAATGTTCTTTTAGATATGGAAGCCCTGGCAATGTTTCCAAGGAATATAATGAGTTTGCTGAAGTCTTCCTGAAGGCATTTGCTGTTGGTGTGCAGCAGGTAAGTCCAAGATAATTTTTCTAAATAGAGATATAGTATTATTAGGTTAATTTCTCTCTTGCTTATTTCATTAGAAATTAAATAATAATAACCTTGTTGCATATTAGTGTAAGACTATGTTTTCTGTTAAAAATAACTTTTCTAAAATGAAACCTTTTTAGTGAGAAGAAATGGTATTGTTAATACATTTTTACTGTCTGGCTTCATAAAAGTCATCTGTATACTCACCTACATCTGTATTCAGTCTGTTTTAATTTGTTTTGATGGACATAAAGATAGTTTGGCTTTAGAGATAAGGTGGGAAATGAAAGAATGTTTTGATAGACTTTTCATATAGTTTTGGAAATTCTTTAATATTACACCAAAATTGAATGATGTCGTTTTTTAAAATATATTTTATTGATTATGCTATTACACTTGTCCCATTTTGCCCTCTTTGTTCCCCCCCACCCTGCACACCCTCTCCCACCCACATTCCTCCCCTTTAGTTCATGTCTATGTGTTACAAGTTCTTTAGCTTCTACATCTCCCACACTACTCTTGCCCTCCCCCTGTCTATTTTCTACCTACCATCTATGCTTCTTATTCTCTGTACCTTTTCCCCCTCTCTCCTCCTCCCACTCCCCTGTTGCTAATCCTCCTTGTGATCTCCATTTCTGTGGTCCCGCTCCTGATATAGTTGTCCACTTAGTTTGCTTTTGTTTTAGGTGTGGTTGTTAATAACTGTGAATTTGCTGTCTTTTTACTGTTCATCTTTTTATCTTTTTCTCAGATAAGTTCCTTTAACATTTCATATAATAAGGGCTTGGTGATGATGAACTCCTTGAACTTGACCTTATCTGAGAAGCACTTTATCTGCCCTTCCATTCTAAATGAAAGCTTTGCTGGATGGAGCAATCTTGGATGTAGGTTCTTGTCTTTCATGACTTGGAATACCTCTTTCCAGCCCTTCTTGCCTGTAAGGTCTCTTTTGAGAAATCAGTTGACAATCTGATGGGAACTCCTTTGTAGGTGACTGTCCCCTTATCTTATCTCTTGCTGCTTCTAGGATTCTCTCCTTCATTTTCATCTTGGGTAATGTAATTATGATGTGCCTTGGTGTTTTCCTTCTTTGAGTCCAACTTCTTGGGGACTCTCTGAGCTTCCTAGGCTTCTTGGAAGTCTATTTCCTTTGCCAGATTGGGGAGTTCTCCTTTATTATTTGTTCAGATAAGTTTTTCACTTCCTCTTCCCCTTCTGGTACCCCTATAATTCGGATGTTGGAGCGTTTAAAGATGTCCTGGAGATTCCTAAGCCTCTCCTTGTTGTTGTTGTTGTTTTTTGAATTCTTGTTTCTTCATTCTTTTCTGTTTGTTTGTTTCTTCCTTTCTTCTGGTCCACTCCCTTGATTTGAGTCCCAGTTTTCTTTCCATCATTATTGGTTCCCTGTGCATTTTGCTTCATTTCACTTAGTGTAGCCTTCATTTTTTCATCTAATTTGCAACCAAAATCAACCAATTCTGTGAGCATCCTGATAGGTTCACCAGTGCTTTGAACTGTGCATCTGATAGGTTGGCTACCTCTTGGTTGCTGAAAAGTATTGCCTCTAGGGCTTTGATCTGTTCTCCCGTTTGAGGCATTTTGGGGTGGGGGTCTGGTTGCACCTGTTATGTATGCGGGGCAAAGGCTTAGGTGTTCACTAGGGCGGGGCAACCCAGTTGCTGGGTTGACACTGTATGTGGGGGTGGGGTCAGAGAGGGAACAATGGCCCTCGCTCTGTTCTCTCTCGGATTTCAGTTCCTTCTGCCGCTTCCCACGAGCAAATTGGGCCCTTCTGGTGCTGGTTCCTGGGTAGGTGGACTTGTGTACATTCTAGAACCCTGTGGGTTTCTCCAATGAACTCTCCTGTGAGGCTGGGAGTCTCTCCCAGCACCTCAACCCCCTCAAGTGTTTTCAGTTAGTGCTTTTAGGCTTTATTTCCTAGGGCTGGGGCCCTGGGTTGCGTGGTCTATCTCGCTCCCCATTTTCCCTTGGTTTTTCTGCACACGAATGTGTGACCATGGTTAGCCAGCCACTTTGCACACCTTACTGGGTCTGCTCATTGCCTCCCTGTGCCCGGGGTCTGCCAACTGCTGCCTGCGAGCCCAGGTCCACCAGCCACTGCTTTTTCCTGCCTCGAGCCCTTTCCATGGGCTGCCGACTCCGAACCTCTTACTGGTCAGGATGAATGGTTTTTGGACTTCCGTACAGTTCAGTTTTGTCATTTCTGGTTGTATTTTTGTTGTCCTTAATTTTGTTTGTGCAAGGAGGCACAGTGTGTTTATCTATGCCTCCATCTTGGCCAGAAGTCCTGAACAATGTAGTTTCTTAAAGGTTAATTGCAATGTAGAGTTTGAAACTAACAACATTTCATATTCCATTATAGTAACACACATTGGTGTGTATAGCACTTAGATGGCTCTTTCATCCATACATGATTTTGTGACATTCTGAACTGGGCATTTAGAGAATGTTGATTCATTGAATTAATGCACATTTTTCTAATGTTAATACATTTCATTTTTGTATTTAAAAATTACATTTGTTAATAACAACACCAATCTCATCAGAAATATTTTCAAATAATTTTTTCTTGAAAAGCTCAAATTTTAATACCAGTAACATTATTGGATTTTTTAAGTGACAGGCTGATTTTATTCATTTTTGAGAAAAAAATGCCATATGTACAAGTCTAAATAATCATAATTGGTCTGTTAGTTTTTCTTTCAATTATATGATAGTGTTTCATGGAACAAGCTGCTATTCCTGCTCTTCTTCTGATAATTGTTCTTCAGTATATAAAAGAAGTGCTGTTTATATTTTTCCCATTTAATAATATTTATAATATTTCTGGTTCATTAAGGACTTTTTTTTTTAATTAAGGACTTTTTTTTTTAATAAGGATGTTTGTAAGGAAAGCTTGTTCTGTAATTACGTGGCTGTAAAGAATCTGACTGCTGATATACTTCAGTGCCACCCCATTCATGTTAGATACAAGAAGTTTTACTACTCTTTTGTATCATTCATGCAAATGTTAAACACAGTAAAAAGGGCGAATAATGACAGCGTTATTGTGAAAATAGTGTTGCCCTCGCAGACTCTTTGAGGGATCTTGTCACCCAATTTTTGACATTGGTTGTTCTTGAAATACGAAGTGAATCAAAACTCTTGCCAGACATTAAATAGGATATGTACGTGAATGTTTGTGTAATGTTTTCCTAATAAGTGAGTTTAGCAATTGTAGGGATGTCTCAGAATATTGTATTATGTTTAATAAGTAGCATATGAATTGCCCTTCTTTTTATATTTCATCAGAAACCAGCGCTTTGATAGAGTATTATTTTAGTTTGTTTATTTAAATGCCTTCCTTGAGAATAAATGTGTTTCTACAGTATAAATTTTTTAAATTACTTAATTCTGAGAAGGATGATGACCTGAATATTGAGATAAGTGTCACATGTTTTTGCTGGCTTGCAAGTCATTAATTTCTGTTTGGTTTTTGATCAAAAATTTTTCCCAAAGGTTTTATTGAAGGTGTTATATCAGTACAAAGAGAAGCAATACATGGCTCCTCGAGTTTTACAACAGACATTAAATTATATTAATCAAGGAGTTTCTCATGCGCTCACCTGGAAGAACCTGAAGCCTCATATACAAGTAATAATTTTCTATCTGAAATGTTTTTCTAGAAAATACAATGGAAGTAACATTAAATATCATAAAGGTTTAAAAATGAAATTTTTTTCTTATATTGCTTAGTGTAGTTTTGGTAATTGTTTTGATAGTAGAGTAGAAAAACGAGGGAAAACACCCCTCATGAACTTATAAAAGCTCTTTTGTGAATATTCAGATTACCTTTTCACCTAAACTGTTCTTACTATTGGACTATGATTAGTTAAAATTTTAGTCATGTGATTTGGAGTAGGCAAAGGACTATTTTACCAGATAGTTTTTGAGGATAATTGGCTTATCTTTTATGAGTAATTTTTTTGCTTTATTTACAACTGTAGGGCTTGATGGACTAAAACTTCATGTCATATTTTCTCAGATTACTACCTATGTACATGTATTTTATTTTATAATTACTTGTTGCATAGAGGGAAGGGTGGGTATATTGGTAGTTGATCTGAAAATGTAAAAAGTTTGATATTAAACTTTAAAAATATGTATTATAGATTATGGAATTGCTTTTGTTTTACCACTTAACAGAAATTTGAAGGAGGTTTAAAAAAAATCTTAAGACTGACTTCAGGTTATTACCTTCTTAACTTTTAAATTGCAGGGCATTATCCAAGATGTTATTTTTCCATTGATGTGCTATACAGATGCCGATGAAGAACTTTGGCAAGAAGACCCTTATGAATATATACGCATGAAGTTTGGTAAGGAATTTTCACTTGTTTAGAAATAAAATGTCAGTTAAGTTTATATATAGTATACCTAGGGGGTATCAAAGTCTTTTACCTTTTGTACTCGGAAATCTTTGTTGCCCTGGCCATTGTGGCTTCATTGGTCAGAGCATCACATACACAGTAAGGATGCAGGTTCAGTCCCCACCCTCACCCTTCCTCTCTAAAAAAGCAATGATCAAAATACTTTTGATCAGGTGAGGATCAAAAAAGTAATCTCTTCTTTCAGTGTAAGTTATTCATTGTTTAGACCAGCGATTTTTGATCCTTTTCCTATCACAGCACACATAAACTAGTCACTAAAATTGTGTGGCATACCAAAGAGTGTTCTTTGCCAATCTGACAAAAACATGGATATAATTTTGATTCATTCACACCAGACAGCTATTGTGCTAGCTGTTGTCATTTTTAAAATTTGACATTCTAAGGGAGAAAACATTAGTGCTCCTGACTAAATAGTCGGATATTGAATATTTTAAAAATCTTTTGCAGCACACCAGTGGAAAATCACTGTTTTAGATATTTTGGTGGAGGACAATTCATTAATTATGGCATTTGATAATTTTTAGCACAATTCATTAATTATGGCATTTGATAATTTTTAGCAGACACAGATTCAGTAGTGTTGCTAAGTTTTTAGATGTACTTCATGCCAGAGCTATTAGAAATTCAAGATTATACCTTAACACTAAGTGTCTAAACTATACTTTTGAATCTTGTGTTAGTCATCATATAATGTGGGAATTGAGAAGATGAATACTGGAAGCTGTAGTCACACGGAGTCTCTCCCTGGAACTAAAGAATTGTAATGGGCTGATATTCAGCCTTCGTCCCTCTTCCTAGCAAAGTCTTAATGTGTGTGTGTGTGTGTGTGTGTGTGTGTGTATAATGTACGTATATATGTATATGTACACCAATATATACACATATATGTATATATTGATGTTTATCCTTATTTATTTGTTACTCTTATTTTTTTATATTTTCTTATTGGCTTAATATGCAATAACCTCAGTTTCTGAGAGTTAGGGATCAGGGCATGGCTTAACAATTGACTGCTTCAAAATCTCTCAGGAAGTTGCAATCAAAAAATTTTAATGTACTTTTAGTAGTTTGTACTTTTGTGACCCTGTTGTGAAAATTCTCAGTTGTAGTGTGAAAATAATCATTGGGAGAAATTAATGGATTGTTAACATTTAACCTGTACAGAAAAGATACAGGATAAGGCTTTTTACAAAATTATATGATTCATATTCATCTTCTGTGAACATTTATAAACTTTTGTTTGTTGTTGTTGTTTTTCCTTTTTAAGTTTGTTTGTTTGGGAGGGGGGAGGGAGAGTGAAACAGAAATATCTCTGAGAGAGAAACATGGATCAGTTGCCTCTCACACTCCCCCAACTGAGGACCTGGCCTGCAATCTTTCAGTGTGCAGGCTGGCACTCAACCCACTGAGCTACACTAGCCAGGGCTAAGGTGTGTGGGGTTCTTGTTTGTTTGTTTGTTTGTTTGTTTTGTTTTTAATAACAGCATTATTTATACATTTTGTAGCATTGATTGTTGAAGAAATTGACTGTTTTCTTTATTAATTTTAAATTTATTCTCTAGATGTGTTTGAAGATTTCATTTCTCCTACAACTGCTGCCCAGACACTTTTGTTTACAGCCTGTAGTAAGAGGAAAGAGGTAAGTTATTTAATGTGGAAACTTTTTGCTCTAACATTTAAAATTGGTTCAGATACTGTTTTTAATGTTAACTCTTAAGTCCTTTTGTCATTAATGTTTTTTAAAGGATTTTGGTTTATCCAGTAGTGTTACTTTTTTCTTTTTAATTTAGGTACTGCAAAAGACTATGGGATTTTGCTACCAGATTCTTACAGAACCAAACGCTGATCCTCGAAAAAAAGATGGAGCCCTGCATATGATTGGATCGTTAGCTGAAATACTTCTGAAGGTATGCTTTTCATGTACATGTGCAAATTGAGATACAATTTATATACCATAAAATTGGCCGATATAAAGTATAATTCAGTGGTTTTTTTCTTATATTCAGAGTTCTACAACATTTTCATCACCCTAAAAAGAAACCTTACTGGCAGTTACTCTCCATTTTCTCTGAGACTTCCCAGCCCTAGGTTACACCTAATCTATTTTTTGCTTCCTTTATGGATTTGCTAACTGGACATTGCATATAAATGGAGTGATAAAACATTTGGTCCTTCTTGAGTAGCTTTTTTTTTTACTTAGCATAATATTTTCAAAGTTCATCATAGTGTGTGGCACATGTCCCAGCACTTCCATTCTGTTTTATTGCCAAGTAATATTTCATTGTATTGATATACCACATTTCATTTATTCGTTTTTCAGTTGATGGGCCTTTGTATTATTTTCATATCTTGACTATTATTCAATGGTGCTCTGAACATTTGTGTACACATTTTTGTATAGATGTATGTTTTTATTTTTCTTGGGTAATAAATACCTAGAAGTAAAATTGCAGGTCATATTTGAGAAACTGCCAGGCTGTTTTTCCAAAGTGACTGGCTCTATCATTTTATGTTTTCATCAGCAGTGTATGATGGTTCAAGTTATTATGTCCTCATAAATTTACCTGACATTTTCGTTACAGCCATTAACCTGTTGTCAGATGTTTTCTCGTGCTTTTGATTTACATTATCCTGATGACTAATGATATTCTAAGAATCTTTTTATATGCTAATGGACAATTATATGTCTTCTTTGGGACATTTCTGTTCTAATCCTTTATTTTAAATTGTGTTATTTTCTTTATTGTTACATTGTTAGAGTCCTATATATTCTAAATACTACACCTTTATCATATACATGATCTTCAAATATTTTCTGCCATTCTCTGGGTTATCTTTTCAATTTCCTGATGGTATCCTTCAAAGTATAAATTTTGATATTATTTTGAAATAAGTCCAGTTTATATTTTCTTTTGTTGCTTTTGCTGAAGGTACTTCTTTTTGCATGAGTTTTCCTTAATTGTATTTTTTCCCATTACCATTTATTCCCCTTACAGGCCCCTGCCCCACAATTAACACTCTGTTGTCCAGGTCCATGAGTCCTTTTTCTTTTTGCTTGGTCCCTTCACCTCCTAATCCCCTCCACAGAGCTGTCAGCCTGCTCTCTATGTGTCTGTCTCTGTTTTGCTTCTTAGTTCAGTGTGTTAAATTCCACGTGAGTGAAATCATGGTATTTGTCTTTTTCTGACTGGCTTATTTCACTTAATATAATGTTTTCTAGGTCTGTCCATGCTGTCAAAAAGGGTAAAATTTTATTCTATTTTACAGCTGAATAGTGTTCTACTGGGTGTGTCTACCATAGTTGTTTTATCCACTCATCTGCTGATGGACACTTGTGCTGCTTGCACATCTGTGGTAATTGTAAATAATGCTACAGTGAACATAGGGGTACTTTTATACTTTTGATTGTTTCAGGTTTCTTCAGATAAATTGCCAGGAATGGAATTACTAAGTCATAAAGCAGTTCTGTTTTTAATTATTTGTTGTATCTCCATACTGTGCTATCCACAGTGGCTGCACCAGTCTGTATTCCCACCAACAGTACAAAAGGGTTCCCCCTTTTCCACATCCTGACCAGCACTTGTTTGTTGATTTATTGAAGATAGCGATTCTGACTAGTGTGAGGTGATATAGCTTGTTGTTTTAATTTGCATTTCTCTGGGTAGTGATGTTGACCATCTTTTTATATGAGGTGGGTCCCAGAAAAACCTGGAATAATCTTCTGGAGCGTGGGTTTCTTGTAGTATAGGTTTCCCCCGCTAGTTGAGTGTTCTAGGAACCCACCTGTGTCAGTGTACCAGCCAGCAATTGTTGTGAGAGGCTGGGTTAGGCTTCAGTAAATTTTGTTTGAAAACTCTTTCAGTGCATTTGCCCATTTCTTGATGGTTAATTTAAGAGAGCACCTGTCCATACTGTGCTTAGTGCTCAGTACTTTTTGACCAAAAACAGCATGACCCTGGTGTCCCACCCTGCCTATTCATGCAATTTAACCTCAAGTGAATATTTTGTTTCCTGGATAAAAAAAAGTCCTCAAAGAATAACGTTGTAGATGTAGAACAGATAAAACAAAAAATGACAGAAGCACTAAAAGGCATTGAAATAAAAAACAAGTTCAAAAACTGTTTTGAGCAGTGGGGAAAAAAGCATCTCAGTAGATGTATTACATCAAATGAAGAGAGTGCTTTGAAGGTGACCAAAGTTTAAACATGTAAGAATAAATAAATTTTTATAGACTCCAGGGTTCATTGGACATGTCCTGCGTTGTGTATCTATTGGCCATATGTGTGTCCTCTTTGGAGAAGTGTCTATTTGCATCCTTTGTCCATTTTTTAAGTTCAATTCTTTGTTTCTTTGTTGTTGTTTTATAAGTTCTTCATGAATTTTGGATATTAATCCATTATCAGATGTATCAGCAAATATGTTCTTCCTTCTGTGGGTTATCTTTACATTTTGTTGATGGCTTCCTTTGCTGTGCGAAAACTTTTTAGACCGATATAGTACCATTTGTTTATTTTTTCCTTTGTTTTCATTTCCTGGGGATATATATCAGAAATGATACTGCTACAAGCAGTGTCTGGGATTTTACTGCCTACGTTTTCTTCTAGTACTTTTAGGGTTTCAAGTCTAATGTTTTAAGTTTTTAATCATTCATTTTGAATTTATTCTTGTGTGTGGCATAAGAAGATGGTATAGTTTCATTTTTCTGCACACATCTGTCTAGTTTTCTCAACATTTATTGAATAAGCTCTCTTTAGCCCACTGTATATGCTTGCTTTTCCTGTTAAATATTAATTGACTATAAAGGTGTGGGTTTATTTTTGGGTGCTCTGTTCATTAATCTGTATGTCTGATTTTATGCCAGTACCATACTGTTTTGATGACTGTGGCTTTATAGTATAGTTTTATATTAGGTAGTGTTATTCTTCAAAGTTCAAAGAAGAACTTTGTTCTTCTTTCTCAAGATTGCTGTTGCTATTTGGGGCCTTTGTGGTTTCATGTAAATTTTTGGAATATTTATTCTAGTTCTGTCAAAGACGCCATTGGTATCTTGATAGGAATTGTGTTGAATCTATAGGTTGTTTTGGGTAGCATAGACATTTTAATGATTTAGTTAATTCTTCCTGTCCATGAACTCAGTATGTGCTTCCACTTATTTGTATCTTTAATTTCTTCAGTGTCTTATCATTTTCTGAGTAAAATACCTATGTAAAATACCTATTTTACATCCTTGGATAGATGTATTCTTAGGCATCTTTTTCCTTTTGAAGCTATTGTAAGAGGTTTTGTTCTCATAGTTTCCCTGATAGTTCATTGTTGGCATTATGAAAATGCTGTTGTATTGAGCGTTGGCCTGTGAACCAAAGGGTGGCCAGTTCGATTCCCAGTCAGGGTACATGCCTGGGTTGCGGGCTAGGTCCCCAATGGGGGGCATGCGAGAGGCAACCACACACTGACATTTCTCTCCTTCTCTGTCTCCCTCCCCCTCTGTCTAAAAATAAATACATTTTAAAAGAAAAAGAAAATGGGGTTGCTTTCATCCATCTGTTCTAGTAGTTTCTTGGTGGAATCTTTAGGGTTATGTAGAAGATCATACCATCTGCAAATAAAGACCGTTTTACTTCTTCCTTTCCAATTTGGATGCCTTTTATTTCTTCTTGTTTGATTGCTCTAGCTGAGACTTCCAGTACTGTGCCGAATGATAGAGGTGGAAGCGGACTTCCCTGTCTTATTTATGATCTTAAGGGGAATTCTTGTGATTTTTGCCCATTGAGTATGATTCTGGCACTGGGTTTGTCATACATGGCATTTATTATGTTGAGGTATGTTTTCTCTATTCCCTGTTTGCTGAAAGTTTTTACCATAAATGGCTGCTGGATTTTCTCAAATGCTTTTTCTGCATGTGCTTTTCATTCTTCGTTTTGTTTATACAATATGTCACACTTGTTGATTTGTGAATGTTGTACCAGTCTTGCATTTCTGAATAAATCCCACTTGATCGTGGTGTATGATCTTTTTGATGATGAATTGCTATATTGGGTTTGCTAGTGTTTTACTGAGGATTTTAGTACTTATGTTCTTCAGGGATATTGGCATATAGATTTTTTTCTCTGTAGTGTCTAACTGGTTGTGGAATGAGGATAATACTGGCCTCATAAAATGAGCTTGGGAGTCTTCCCTCTTCTTGAATTTTTTGGAATAGTTTAAGGAGAGGTGTTCTTGGAATGTTTGGTGAAATTCGCATGTGAAGCTTTCTGGCCCAGGTCTATTGTTTACTGGGAATTTTTTGATTACTGCTTCAATTTTACTAGGTATAGTCTGTCTTTTCAGAGTCTGATTCTTTTTTATTAAGTTTTGGAAGATTGTATGTTTCTAGGAGTTTATCAATTTCATCTAGGTTGTCCAATTTGCTGGCATATAGCTGATCATAATATTTTCTTGTAATCCTTTGTATTTCTTTAGTGTCTGTTGTTATCTCTCCTCTTACATTAGTGATTTTATTTATTTGGGTCCTTTTTTTTTTTCTTGATTAGTCTGGGTAAAGGTTCATCAATCTTGTTTATTTTTTTAAAACTCCAGTTTTTGGATTTATGATATTTTGCATCATTTTTATAGACTCTAAGTTCATTTCTTTCTACTCTGACCTTATTATTTTCTTCCTTTTACTCACTTTGGGCTTTGTTTGTCGTTCTTTTCTTTCTTTTTGTTTTTTTTAAGATTGTATTTCTAGCGAGAGGGTGAGGAAGGGAGAAAGAGAGGGAGAGAAACATTCGAGTGTGACAGATACATTAATCAGCCGTCTTTTACATGCTCCCAACCAGGGAACTTGCCCACAACCTAGGCATGTGCCTTCACCAGGAACTGAACCAGTGACCTCTCAGTTCACAGGCCAGCACTCAGTGTACTGAGC